CTCCATGGGGTGAGGGTCCCCACTGGGGTGGACATCCTCCGAGGGGTCCCACACTGCAAGAGGGCATAGGCCGGGCTGAGGGACCCCCTGAGTGCACAAATTTTTGTGCACCGGGCCTCTAGTGAGAATATAAATTTCTGATGTTTAAGCCATCCAGTCCACGGCATTTTGTTATGGCAGCCTGAGCTGACTAAGGCAGAGGTCATAAGGGTGAGGCCCAAGTGTCATAGGACTGGCGTTGATATAAAAAGAGGAAGAGACACTGAGAGTGTGGGTGAACAGAGAAAAAGCCATGTGAGGACATAGTGTGAAGGCTGCAAGCTAATGAGAGAGGTCACACCAGAAATTCACCCTGCTGGCACCATAGTCTTGGACTTCCAGCCTCCAGAACTGTGAAAAGATAAACTTCTGTTGTTTAAAGCACTCAGTCAAGTCTATGGTATTTTGTTGTGGCAGCCCTAACAGACTAATTCATCTAACTTTATTCTTCTTTTGCACAATGGTTTTTGGCTATTTTGGATACTTTGCATTTCCATATGAATTTTAGGCTCCACTTGTCAATTTCTACAAAAATGCCAGTTGGGATTTTGATAAGGATTGCACTGAATCTGCACATCAATTGGAGGCTCAGGAGTATTGCTATCTTAATAATATTAAGTCTCTTATCCAAGAGATTCTTTTCATATACTTGTCTTCTTTAATTTCTTCCAACAGTGTTTATTAGCTTTCAGTAACCATGTCTTATAGTTCTTTTCTTAAAGTTATTCCCAAGTATTTTATTCTTTTTGATGTTATTGTAAATAAACTAGGGTGGGGTTTTTGTTTTTTGTTTTTTTGGATTGTTCATTGTGAGCATACAGAAATATAATTGATTTTTGTGTTTTGATAATGTATCCTGAAACCTTGCTGAACTTACTAGTTCTAATAGGTATATATTGGCTTCCTTAGAAATATATATGTCATCTGACAAATGGAGATAGTTTTATTTCTTCATTTTTTTAATCTGGATGTGTTTTACCTTTATTTTTCTCCTCTAATTTCCCTGGCTAGAACCTTCAATACAATGTTGGCTAGAAAGGACATCCTTGTCTTATTCCTGACCTTAGGAAGAAAGCATTAGCCTTTCACCATTAAATATATCAGCTGTTAGCTATTTCAGGTCAAAGAAATTCCCTGCTAATCCTAGTTTGTTTTGTTTTTCACCAGGAAAGAATGTTGTCAGATACTTATTCTGTATTGATTGAGATGATTTTTGTTTTGTTTTTTAAAATATTTTTATTGATGTCAGAGAGGAAGGGTGAGAGAGAGATGGGAACATCAATGAGAGAGAATCATTGATTGGCTGCCTCCTGCAGGCCCACCCTGGGGATTGAGCCCACAACTCAAGGATGTGCCCTGACTGGGAATCGAACCGTGAGCTCCTGGTTCCTAGGCCGATGCTCAACCATTGAGCCACGCCAGCCGGGCATGTCCTCTATTCTACTAATATAGTGTATTACATTGATTGATTTTCATATGTTGAATAAACCTTGTACAAATCTCATTTAGTTCTAGAATATAATCTTTACTGATGTTGCTGGATTTTGTTTGCTAACATTTTGTTGAGGATTTTTGTTTCTATATTCATAGACATAATGAACATAAAGACCGTGGTTTTCTTGTGATATTATTGGTATGATTTTGATATTCAAGGTAATACTGGACTCAGAGTGGGTTGGTAAGTGTTCCCTCCTCTTATATTTTTGGAATACTTTGTGAAGGATTGGTGTCTATTCTACTGTAAACATTTTGCAGAATTCACCAATGAAGCTATCTGGGTCTGGGTTTTTCTTTGTGGGCAGATTTTTTATTATTAATTCAGTCTATTTCCTGCTATCAGTCTATTCAGATTTTCTATTTCTACTTGAGTCAGTTTCAATAGTTAGTGACTTTCTAGGTTTTTGTCCATTTAATTTAACTAATTTGTTGGTCAATTTAGCTAAAGTTTTGTCCATTTTGTTGATCTTTTCAAATAAAGAACTTTGGGTTCTGTTGATTCTATCTTTCTATTCTCTATTTCATTCATTTTTCTATTCTCTAATTCATTCATTTCTGTTCCAATCTTTGTCATCTCTTTGCTTCCATTTTGAGAGAGAGAGGAGAGAGGGAGGGAGAGAGAGAGAGAAACATAATTTGCTGCCTCCCACACACACCAAGAACAGAACCCATCACCTTTTGGCCTATCTGACAACGCTCCAATAACTGAACCATACCAGCCAGGGCTCCTTTTTCTTTCTTAAGGTGGAAAGTTAGGCTATTAATTTGAGATCATTCTTCTTTTTTAATATAGGGGGAGTTTAAATTTTTAAATTGATTTTAGAGAGAGAGGAAGGGGAGAAAGAGAGACATTGATTCATTGCTCCACCTATCCATGAATTCATTGGTTGCTTCCTTTATGTGCCCTGACCAGGGATCAAGCCCAAAACCTTGGCATACTGGGAAAATGCTCTAACCAAACGAGCTACCCAGCCAGGGCTTAATATAGGTGTTTACAGTTATAAATCCCCATCTAAGCACTGCTTTAGCTGTATCTCATAAATTTTGGTATGTGTGTTTTTGTTTTCATTTAACTCAAAGTATTTTCTAATTTTCCCTTTCTTTCACCCATTGTTATTTAGGAGTGTTCTGTTTAATATCTACTTTTTGTGAATTCCCCAAATTTTCTTCTGTTACTGATTTCTAATTTCATTTCTTGGTGGTCAGAGAGCATATTTTATATTATTTTAATACATTTGAATATATTAAAGCTTGCTTTATGATCTAGCATATGGTCTGTTCTGGAGAATGTTCCATGTATACTTGAGAAGGATGTGTATTCTGAGTGGAGTGTCCCATAGATATCTTTTTATTAGTTCTAGTTAGCTTACAATTTTGTTCGAGTCTTCTATTTCCTTTTTTTTTTAATATATTTTATTGATTTTTTTACCGAGAGGAAGGGAGAGGGACAGAGAGATAGAAACATCAATGAGAGAGAAACACCGATCAGCTGCCTCCCGCACACCTACCACTGTGGATGGGCCCGCAACCAAGGTACATGCCCCTGACCGGAATCGAACCTGGGACCCTTCAGTCCGCAGGCCGACGCTCTATCCACTGAGCCAAACCGGCCAGGGCCTATTTCCTTTTTGATTTTCTGTCTGGTTGTGTTATCCATCACTGAAAGTGAGGTATTGAAAGCTCCAACTATTATTGCTGAATTATCTATTTCTCCATTCGATTCTGACAGTGTTTGTTTCATGTATTTTAGAGCTCTGTTACTAGGTGCATATAAGTCTATAATTATTATAAATTCCAGACAGATTTATCCTTTTATTTTTATAAAACATTCTTCCTTGTCTCTATTAATTTTTGTCTGATATTACTATAGTAATAGCTCTCTTTTGGTTATTGTCTATGGTATATATTTTTCCATGCTTTTATGTTTCATCAGTTTATGCCTTTAAATCTAATGTGTCTCTTATATACAGCATATAGGTGCATCATATTTTTTTATTCATTCTGCCTATCTCTATCTTATATTGAAGTTTTTAATCCATTTAACAATTTAATGTACTATCTGCAATTTTGCTATTTTTTTCTATGTCATGTCTTTTTTTGCCCTTCTATTCCTCCATTACTGCCTTCTTATGTGTTATAGATAGTGCTAGTGTACCACTTAAAGTCATTTAAAGTTTCTTTTATTTACTTCTAAAGTTATTTTCTTGGTGGTTACCCTGGGGATTACAATTAATATCCTAACTCATAACTACAAGTTTCTTCTTGGAATTTAAATAGTCTAGTCAACATTAAGTCCAGAAAAATGAAAAGGAACTTTTCAACTCACAAACACTGTTTAGGTAAACACTGGGAGGTTGCTGTAATAATAAGTACCTGCCTTTGGTATGAACACTTACCTTGTCTAATAGTGCATTCTGCCACAATCTAAAGATACTGAGGTAACTTCTATCCCTGGCACCAAAAGATGTAAAGAAAAACTGAAAATAAAAAGAGTAGGATAATTTTAGTGACATTTTAAAAAGGGGGAAAGTATCTGTCATGAAGCTCTGTTGGCATTTGCTATGGTCAAAGCAAACTAGTAAGTCACCACCGCCTACTTTATATACTCTTTTTAACTTTTTGTTACTTTTTAACTTTTCATAGTCTCAAATATCTAGATGTAAAACAGGTAATTGGTGCATGGACAAGGTGTCTTTCACATTGTATCTTACAGCAAATACAATTTCATCAATATTTACTAGGGAAAGGAGCTTGAAATAGGTTGCTATTTATGTTCATCGTAGTTTAACTATGAAAATCAATCTAAATAAATTTATGGAAAAAATTAAAATTTTATTTATTCTAAACTTTGCAAAGAGATGTGATTTGGTAGCCCTTGAGACAAGTATAAACAAAGAATATGAAAAAATACAGTGGATTTCAGAGATAAATTAATTTTTAAGGATCGTAATTTTAAATTATATCATCTTTCACCCAGCTGGCATGGCTCAGTAGTTGAACATTGACCTATGAACCAGGAGGGCACGGTTCAATTCCTGGTCAGGGCACATGCCCGGGTTGTGCCCTCATCCCCAGTGTGGGGTGTGCAAGAGGCAGCCAATCAATGATTCTCTCTCATCATTGATGTTTCTCTCTCTCCCTCTCCCTTCCTCCCTGAAATCAATAAAAATACATATATTTTTTTTAAAAATTATATCATCTTTCATAGTCTCAAATATCTAGAAATATCTAATCTCTGCTAATTATACATATAAAACACCCATATTAACAATAAACTTTGCTTTGAATTTTGTAGGAGAGAAATAGCATGTTTCAACCTATAAGTCTATGTTTGCATGTAACCCTATTTCTTCCTATGCATTTAAGTGGATTTTTGTAGTCACATTTTAATATAGGCTCTTATGAAAAAATCTGACAAGTGGCAGCACTAAATATAGTTTCTGTGTATCATCTCTTCCCTTCCCCTAGTTTGTGACTTTTTATGATTAAATGTTTATTTCCAGGAATGAGAAAGCTCAGTCCTATGTTTGATTTGTTAAATAAAATATCAAACTAATAATATTTCAGGTGTTACATTTTTCATTTTTCATACAAAGATGTTAAAGTATAATTTTCTAATTAACACATTGAAACCTTGCTATATAATAGTCTCCAAAAAGCAAACTTTTTATAACAAGAACATAGCTAGGAACTTTTCCAAATAGGATTACATACATAACATGTGACCTAATGTCACACATAGAGCCCTAATCAATTTTCCAGATGGGTATAGAAAGATTCTTCATATATCTCCACTAAGAAATGGCAGATATTACAGGTGGATAATATAAATGATGGCGGTTAAAGATAATTCCCATCCTAAAATATTATTTAAATGATTGCGTTTACTTGTATGCTACCCAAACCTCTGTTCAACAGAATCATTTGTTTGTATTACTATTATGCATAAAAAACAATTATAGAATTATTACTGTATTAGAAATAATAAGGATGGTTTGCTAATGCTTAATCTATCTATTTCTTATAATGAAGAAATGATAAATATGGAATAAAGTTCTCTTTAAACTATAAAGTATAAAAAATGTTAGCAGTCGTTTAACCATCAATAAGTATTTAAGTATACAGAAATCTAGCATGAAATTCAATGTACTTGATTAGATATCCATAATTCTAAGAAGAATTGCTTATATTCCTAACACTGATGATTAGTATAGGCAGATTTTCTCCACATTATGCAATAAGGCAAAGGCAGAAAAGTTTTTTACCTTTTCACTGTCTGTAGCGATCTGGATAGCATTTGGGATGAGTCGAGCAGTTTTCTCCTTGGTCATGAAGGTTATATTTTTTAAAGCAATAGAAATCTAAATACACAAAAGGAAAAAAATTGCAAAATGGATTTTTTTCATAATACATATAACACAAAACACCAAGTATTACATCAATTTAACCCAAACTAGAAAAACCTAAAGGAGTTCATATTAATTACATGTTTGTTTTTTCTCCGAAAAACAGAGTCAGCAGTCAGACATTCTTCCTTTCAGTAATTTCCTGCTTCAACTCCTATCTCTAACATTAGGATAAAGTGTGAAAAGACATGTGGGTGTTCATGTTCTACACACACACACACACACACACACACAATTCAGACTGTGATAAGACATGATTTTGGCAGTCAAAAGGATGTATAATCAAGCTTTTTTCAATCTGAAATCTTTCTCCGACTGTATTACATATGTACACATGGAGCTCAAAGTATTAAGAAAAATATATTGCACACTTCTACAACACATATTGTGTTTACATATATACAAGTATAGATATACAAATATGTAAAAATTTACTTTAGGATTTAAAGTACATTACTTTTAGGAGTACTGTATACATTTCTATCTGCAATTATTTGTATCAACATATCAAATCAAAATATGTCTTACTGTAGTTTCCCATTTGAAGATGTTGCTATGGAAACATAGCCAGTTTTCTGAAAGGTATAGTCGTCCCTGAAGCAAAATGTCTTTCTGAAGAGCACAAGCATAATCTACACAAATAAGGAACAGCTTAGTCACAAAAATATGGCAACTTAACAAATCTTATACTACTTTAGTACACAGAAAATCATCACTCTTCATTCATTAGTTCATGCGCTCATTCATTCATTTATTCATTTACTCATTCGTATTCTTTGTGCACCAGACACTAGGGTTACCAGAAAAGGACCTTGGCCTCATGGAACACAGTCTAGAGGGGAAGGCATACAATAAACAAATAAATGTATAAGTATAATGACCAAAGTGTAGAGAAAGCTCTGAGAGAATATAACAAGGCATACATAGGTATGGGGGGTGGGGCAGGTAGGAAGTTAATCAGGAAAAGTTTTCCAGAAAAAGTAATCTTTAAACTGAGACCTAAAGATCAATAAAGGGTCAGCGAGACCATGAGGGAACAAACAGTATTTACACAGGCCCCATGGTAGAAAGAAGCACAGCACATTTAAGCTACTGTATACAAAGACAGATCTCGGGCCTGGAGAAGCTAGGCAAGGGAGGGTGTCTCAGGCCCTGGTGAGCTGTGATCCTGATGAGAAGCCCCTGGTAAGTTTTAAGTGGAAGGGGCACGATCAGTTGTATCTTTATTCACACTGGGAGAATGGATTCAGATAAATCAGTTGGAAATCCAAGGGAAAACTGACAGTGGCCCAGACCAAAAGATGACAGTATTAAGAGAAAGAAGTAGGTAGATTCAAAAATATTAAGAGGTAGTACTGATGGAAAATTGGTGATTAATTAGATGTTGGACAAAGGTGAGGGAGGGATAACTCCAACAAGTGTGTGTGTATGTGTGTGTGTGTGTGTGTGTGTGTGTGTGTGTGTGTGTGTGTTAGTTTGTTTGTTAAAGTTGATCCTCTCCACACCAGCATTAAAATCCAGCAAAATCAAGAGTACTGGTAAATGCCACTGCCTATAACAAGTTAATACCATGCTTCTAAGATTAAGATCTGACTCTTTGGCTAATGTAAATACTAGTAGTATTGCTAAATTACCAATTATACAAGATATAAAAGGCTGCTACGAGGAGATTTAGTTAAACTGATAAATTTTAAAACTATATATACAGTGATTAGGAATTTTAGGAAAACTTGTGGAGGTTATAAACCTCAAAATATTTAGGTTTAGTCATTAAAATTCTAAGCAAATACTGAAAATTGAGCAAAGTAACGCACTCTTTCAAAATGCTTCCTTCAGCAAAACAAAACTGAGATGCCACCAAACAAAAAATCCTAGCAAATAATTAAGCAGATTAAGTTACTCATTTACTAGTATGCATTTCTAAAACAGAGATTGGGCTAAAGATTACCTTGAGGTGTCGTGAAGTTTTTATCAAAACCACTGACACATGCTTCTCAAATTTCACATAAAAATATCTGGCAGACGTATTAAAACACAGCTTGCTGGGCCCCTTCCCCAGAGCTTCTGATTAAATGTCCGGGCTGGGATGAAGAGTTTGCATGTGAAACAAGCTCCCAGGTGATGCCAACATGGCTGCTCTGTGGAACACACTCTGAGAACAACTGCATTACTTTACATTAACAATGTACAAAGCCACAGTGAGCAACTGTATTATTTTAACTGAAGATTATTTAATACTAGAGGCTCGGCGCATGAAATTCGTGCATGGGGGAGGGGGGGGGTCCCTCAGCCCAGCCTGCACCCTTTCTAATCTGGAACCCCTCAAGGGATGTCCGACTGCCCGTTTAGGCCCAATTCCACCGGGCAGTGGCACATCCCTCTCACAATCCAGGACTGCTGGCTCCCAGCTGCTCGCCTGCCTGCCTGATTGCCCATAACAGCTTCTGCCTGCCACCCTGATCACCCCCTAACCACTCCCCTGCTAGCGTGATTGACGCCTAACTGCTCCCCTGCCTGCCCGATTGCCCCAACTGCCCTCCCCTGCTGGCCTGGTCCCCCCAAACTGCCCTCCCCTGCCGGCCGTCTTGTGTCCACATGGGGGCTACCATCTTGTGTGTTGGAGTGATGGTCAATTTGCATGTTACCTCTTTATTATATAGGAAGGATAGATAGACAGGCTTTTTACAAGGGTTTAAAAATGGTTTCCCAAAAACAGGTATATTTTATTTTAATAAATTTGTAACTCAATACAATTTAGTTTTTATATAATAGCTTTCTAGCAATATATTCTATGTGAGAAATGACCAAAATATTTTAAAAGCAAAAGGATTTTACTTTTTTTGCTCCCAATTTTCCTACTGATAAACAAGCACATAATTATCAGCATTTCAGAAAGCAATAGTCTACCTGATTTGAGTCATGTTAACAATCTGATTCATATATAATGGAATAAGAAAGCAATGTTTATAAAAAATCATTTTATGGCCCAGCCAGTGTTGCTCAGTGGTTGAGCATTGACCTATGAACCAGGAGGTCATGGTTCCATTCCTGGCCAGAGCACATGCCCGAGTTGTGGTCTCGATCCCCAGGGGGGGGGGATACAAGAGGCAGCTGATCAATGATTCCCTTTCATCATTGATGTTTCTATCTTTCTCCCTCTCCCTTCCTCTCTGAAATCAATAAAAAAAATTTTCAAAAAATCATTTTATGGCCTTGGTCAATGTTTCTCAATGGTTAGAGCATCAGCCCTTGCACCAAAAGGCCAAGGGTTCGATTCTGGATCAAGGGCACACACCTGGGTTGCAGGTTAGATTTCCCAGCTCTTGCAGGAAGCAACCAATTATTGTCAATTTCTCTCTTTCTCGCTCTCTTTCTCCCTCCCTTCCTCTCTCTCTTTTCCTCCTTTCCTTCATCCCTCCCTCCCTTACACTCTCTAAAAATCAATGGAAAAAATAACCTCAGGTGAGGATTTTTTTTTATAATTTTTATTTCTTAAAGTATTCCAAAAAGTATTACATATGTCTCCTTTTTCCCCCCCTTGATATTCCCCCGGCCCCTACCCGCCGGTGTCTTGTGTCCATTGGTTAATCTTATATGCATGCATATAAGTCCTTCGGTTGATCTCTTAATCCCCCCCCAAACCCTCCCCAGGCTCCCCACTGTAGTTTGACAGTCTGTTCAATGTTGCTCTGCCTCTGCATCTACCCCTGTTCATCAGTCTATACTGGTCCCCATTATCTGTCCCAACCTCACTGGAGCAGTTTCACCGGGGCCGTTTTAGCCTCACCGGGGCCGTCCCGACCTCACCGGGGCCGTTTCAGCCTCACCGGGGCCATCCCGATCTCACCAGGGCCGTTTCAAGCTCACTGGGATTTTCATTTGAGGGAACTGAGATCTTAACAATATTGAGTCTTCTGATCCATAAACATTTATTGGATCTTCTTTTATTAATGTTTTCCAGTTGTCAGCATAGAAAGCCTGCACGTTTGTTAGATTTATACATAAGTACCTCACTATTGGGAGGCTCTGATATAAATGGTATTTGTAAAATTCCAATTCAAATTGTTTATTGTAAGTATGTATCAATATGATTCTTTCTTTTACCTTCAATTACCTTTCAATCTGTGACCTTACTAAACTCGCCCATCAAATCAAGATTATCTGATATTTAATGAGATTATCTGAGATTTTCTACATGAAAAGCAAATATACACACTAAAAAAATATCTAGAAAACTGCCCATAAAATATTAACCAAAATTATCTATAGGTGGTAGGATCCCCAATGACTTAATATTTTCTTTTTTGTAAAGCTTTAATGTTTTATACAACACTGTGCCATCAAATTAATTTCTTTCAATAAAGCAATAATGAGTATGATACTCATACTAGTATACAGGTTTCCATGAAAAGTATCTGACTTCAAGTTGACAAACTGGCAAGAAACATTTGCAACACACATGGAAAAAATCTAATTTTTTAAATATCTAACAAGCTACTTCAAGTTAAGAATAAGACAAATAACCACTAGAAAAATAAGCAAAGTTTATGAAGAGAAAGCTTCACAGAAAAAGATATATAAATAAATCCTCAACCTCCTTCTTAATTAAAGAAATGCATATTTAAACAATGACTATGCACCATTTCTATCTACTAAATCTTGCTAAAGCAAAGTTCCTGAGGTATGGCAAAACAGGTACTTAGAAACACTGCTGATGAGAATAAACACTGGTACAACCCTTTTGGAGGATAACTTGGCAACAGTAAACTTTTTAAATGTTCATTACCCTTTTGCCACAATTCCACTTCATGGAATTTATCCTACAATGTGTGCACATGTGTGATAAAACAAATGTAAAAGAAGATTCAAAGTAACATTAGTGGTAATAGTAAAAGACAGGAGCCAATAAAAATTTCATCAATAGGGGATTTGTTAAATAAATTATGGTACAAAATTCATATTGAATATTAAGCAACCATTAAAAGAATAAAGTGGATCCATAAGCAGTGCTAACAGAAAGAGCTCTAAACAAGATTCAAACAGTAAACACAGTGTGCTCCCATTTTAGTTCTCTTAGGAATATAGGTATATTCCCCTGAAAATAGAAACAGAAAATTTCTGGAAATATACATAAATTACTAAAGGTAGTTATCCCCCAGGAAGAAGGTTAGAGTGATTTTCATTGGAAGGGCCACTCACCTTCACTATATGCCCTCTTGTAGAATTCGAACATTTTATTATGAGAATGTATTACTTTTAAATGTTCTTAAAATTTGCTTTAATTCATTATTATTATTTTTTAAATACTGGGTTTTAAAGTACTTTAGCTATCTAGAAATTCAGTTATGTTGTATTAAGTACTGCAAAATAGTATCAGAAATCTGAGAAAGTTCAATGGATAAATGGTTAAATAAAATATATACTAAAACAAAAACATAGTTCTATATTTTTATTGTAAAATATCTATATTAGATTTATATTAAAAATAACGGCTCTTTCTCTCCTTGTGCACACATGCGCAGAGGAAAAGCTATGTCAGGACACAGTGAGTAGGCGGCCACATGCAAGTCAGAAAGACAGCTCTCACCAGAAAGTGACCTTGACAGCACTTTAATCTTAGACTTCTAGCTTCCAGAACCAGGTCTTCACCGTCCCCTGACAGAGCATTCAGCCTCCAATCTCTTCAACCTTTATTCTGTCTTCTACACTCCTACCAGAATGATCTTGAAAGCTAGCAAAATTTGCCCAGCCAGCGTGGCTCAGTGGTTGAGCATTAACCTATGAACCAGGAGGTCACGGTTTGATACCGGCTCAGGGCACATGCCCAGGTTACCCGCTGGATCCAAAGTGTGGGGCGTGCATGCAGGAGGCAGCCCATCAATGATTCTCTCTCATCATTGATGTTTCTATCTCTTCCTCTCCCTTCCTCTCTGAAATTAAAAAATAAATAAATAACGCACTTTTGTAAGAAAAATGACTAAAATCTGCTCCTAAAACATCTATCTGAAAGATTACACGAATAATGATATAGCCCTAGAAAATTTTATAAAATTGCTCTACAACCTGTTAAGGAGTATCTTTTATTTGGGGAAAGATAATATATATTGAACATCAAATTTAAATTTTTCTTACAAAACCATTTGAAAGAAGCACCAGTAGAAATTGTGACAAATCATTTCCCTTTAGTTCGATTTTCTTAGACATTATTTAATATTTTTATAAGTCAGACATCACCCCTCCTCAAATTACAACTTAGTTTTACATTGTGTAATTATGAATAACATGCTGCTTATATTGGAAAACATTTTCTGTCTAGCACAAAAGCTGAAATTTTCTAGAGTATTGTCACTCATCAGTTCTATTTTGATAATGAGGTAGTAAAGTGGTTTTCTGCAACTTCCTGTCTTTCTTACCTGCTATCAGCTTCTCTGTATCAGGTAGTTGTGTGAACTGTCTTCTGTATTCCTCATTCCTGTCTTTATAGGTGGAACTTGAAATCTGTAACAATGAAAAGATTAAATTTTTGTTTAACTATATTCATTAAAAGGACTGAAATGTAGCATCTTAGAAATAAATTTTAAATGGACTTTAAAATAATATGCTTTTGATGCAACATTTTGTATGTCTTTGTATGAAAAACCACATAAATAAACATTTCAAAAAACACCAAAAGGAAGTAAAGGAAGTTACCAGCATGATGGAGTGAAGAGTTTGGCAAATCCTCTCTGCAAAAGCAAATTTATAGCTGGGAAAAAAACTGTCAAAAAACAATCACCTCAGTCCCGGCCAGTGTGACTCAGTTGGAGCGTCATCCCGTGCACCAAGGGATTGAGGGTTCAGTTCCCTGGACACATATGGTAACCAGGTTGTGTGTTCGATCCCTGTGGCCAGTGTGACTCAGCTCAGTTGGAGCGTCATCCCGTGCACCAAGGGGTTGAGGGTTCAGTTCCCAGGACACATATGGTAACCAGGTTGTGTGTTCGATCCCTGATCAGTCGTGCGGGAGGCAACCATTTGGTATTTCTTTTACATTGATGTCTCTCTCTCTCTCCCTCCCTCCCCCCTCTGCCTTCCTCTCTCTCTAAAAATCAATGGAAACATACCCCCCACCGTGATGATTAAGAAAAAAAATCACCTCAAATTATTGGAAACTGACCAAATGCATACAATAAACTGAAAAATAATTGTTCATGAAAATCTACTGAACTTGGAAATACCAGTAGTAGAGGTCTGGGGCACTGTTTCATTAGCCAGCTCCCATTACTCTTCCTACCCTATCAGTTAAGTCAGTGCAGTAGTTGTCTGAGGGTAGAACAGGTCATGAAAACTAGCAGCTTTGCTGAGAGAGTGGATTGAGTTCATTCTTAGTGAAAAGCAGAAAACCTAGGCCCAAAAGTGCAAAGGAAAACTCTGAAGCTATCAAAGTGAATATAGATTGTAGATCCAATGGGGGCAAGAAACAAGCGGACTGGCTGATTAGCAGGGGACTTAACAAAGAGATCTTGGGGGAGAGACAGCCATAAGTAGGCTTGATAAACATTCAATGTATTTCTGGCTGAGCAGGGGCTGCATGATATGTAGCAGAGATTAGAGAGATCCCAACTATCCACACATTCCTGGCTAGACTCATAATAAGCCTCAGGGGAACATAAAAACTGAGGCACACTTGAAAATGGTCTGAACTTTAAATGCTTTCCCCAATTTACACACAAATCTGTCAGCAGAAGAAAAAAAAAACGCCTATTACTGGCTCTATGTATTTGAGCACAGTTTTGACCAATCATTGACTGGCATAAAGGATGACTCCTGGGAAGGCATCTTTAAATAAAAACAATAATAAACAGGGCAGAGACATTTGTTGCCACATGCCACAGGACAAACTGATTTCACAGATTTATTATAGGTAAGTTATTAAACAAAAATCAGCAATGAGAAGCTTTAGGGGCAGAGAGGATGCAATCAGAATCCAGAGTTGCTACAATATATTATCTAAATTGTACAATTATAAAAAATGTATAAAACATACAAAAGAAAACAGAAAAATGTGGTTCATAATAAGGAAAGAAAAAAGCAAGCAATTGGCTCTTTCAGGGTCCCCAGATACTAGATTTAACAGACAAAGACATCAAAGCAGTTATTATAAACTAGAGGCCTGGTGCACAAAATTCGTGCATGGGAGGGGGTGTCCCTCCGTACGGCCTGCACCCTCTCCAATCCGGGACCCTGCTGGTTTAGGCCCGATGCCTGCAGGATCAGGCCTAAACCAGCAATTGGACATCCCTCTCGCAATCCGGGACTGCTGGCTCCTAACCACTCACCTGCCTGCCTGCCTGATCACCCCTAACCAGCTCTGCCTGCCTGCCTGCCTGATCGCCCCTAACTGCTCTCCCCTGCTGGCCTGATCCCC